AGAAACAAAAACAAACTGCACCCGTGCATGGAAATAGTATACAATAGTCTAACCACCTATACAAATACAAATGCAGTCATGACGACCTGCACAGACCACTCCTACGAACACAAGGCCTCGTCTCAAGCACTAYAGACTACTCCTACTAACACAAGGCCTCGTCTCAAGCACTAAATATACTGTACACTACTACGAATCAGAGGATGAAAGAAGATTAATGGTGGAACTATGCATCATCGTTGTCCACAATGTCCTTCCTCCTCCTCTGCGGCACCACAYCTGTCACACCATCCCCACGACYTGTGYCGCCTGCTGGCRCGTGCRTAGTATCCGGAGCATGAATCTCCCCCTGTGGCGCCGCCTCAACCCCTCCCTGTGGTCGAAGAAGATCGTACACGGAAACCCTCCTCCGCTGGCCATAAGGCATCTCCAAATCGTTTGTGCCAGACTCCCAAACGACTGGCGCCTGTGATGGTCGCTGCGCTGTCGCTGCCCTCACGTCCTCCCACAATATACGTGCAACCATGCTCCTCCCGGGGGGCACAATGTGCTCGGCGTGGTCGCCGGTGCCCGCTCAAAATCGCCCATGTCCGCGGATGTAAACCGGCCAGCCCAGGCTGACTCGCCCGCATCGTTTGCGTCACTCTCCTCACRGTACCAAGACTTTTCCCTCCTCTCATCTTCTTCTTCCGTGACTGAGGAGAAGGAGACTCCCCGGCGGGTGTCGGCGAGGGGCCCCGTACGGCCTCTGCCGCGACTGTGCCCTCCACATATGCGGGTGTGCTGACACCTGTGGTGGATGATGTCACTGACGGGCTGCAAGGCACATAAGCCGGGGCCTCTGCCATCAGTCTCCTCGACACCTCGGTCATCCGCCCCCGGCGATCTGCCTGCAACGGGTCCTCCCGTGCCCGCCGCTCCAACTCCCCCGCCGACATGGCCCCACCGAGAGGCAATACGCAAACACCCTGAACTGGTGACGCAGGTCTCTCGCCCGCATCCCCTATGCCCGCAGCGCCTCACTCGCCCTCTGCATCACCTGCCTCAACGCCCGTCTCGAGCATCCGCGCTACACGTGCCCTCAATGCAACACTCTGCGTCATCTCGCAGTGGCTAGCCAACCCCTGCGCCCTCCTCCTCTCCTCGCGGTCGATCCTGTCCTGCTCTGACTCTGTCGCCCGCTCCTGCACAGGTCGACACTCCCCATCATCCCCAGYTGCACGCTCGTGCTGCCCCGACCGACCCGGTGCCCCCTCTGCTGCCTCCTGCAACATGCTACTACTGATGTCGCCCGTGCTGCATGAAGGTATGTCACGAAGTATCTGACTGACGGGCGTGGCCGCTGCGTCCACATCGACACCGACACGCTCCCCTGACGGTGTCGAAGGATGCCCTAACGAAACATCAAAAATGTTGTCGCTGAAACTGACACCCACCTGTGCAGATGGCCTCCCAACCTCTCCAGCATCGCCACTACCACCCGCAAACCCRCCTGGACCCTCCGCAGACGCCGCTGCGAACTCTGCAGGGGAGGGAGAAACCTCCATAGGGGAGGGAGCAACCACAGCTGCCTCAGCGGGCCTCTCCTCATCAACCCAATGCACAGTGCGAGTGGACGATGCAGACTCTCGCCTTACTTTTCCTGTGCCAGCACGCCCTGCACCCCCAACACCCTGCCCGCTGCCTCCCCTGCCTGCACCACTGCATTGGTCGCCACGCTGTCTCTTGGACTTCCGCAAACCACCCACA